GGGAGAGGATGCGTGGAGGAAGGGGGGGGGCTCTAGGGCAGGGGACGGGGGTCGGGAGAACAGCAGAGCATCCCTGCGCGAGGAAAGACAACGGGAACGGGATGCAGGCGTGGGGGGTGTCAGGAGGGCGAGGGGCCGGGGCCCGCACACCCCCGCGGCCCCCCCACCCCACCCACCCACCCACCCACCGCGGGGGCCACGCGGGGAGGGCGCGGGATGGCAGGAGGAGGAGGAGCTGTGTGTGTGTGTGTGTGTGTGTGTGTGTGTGAGTGTGAGCGGGGGAAGCCCGACGGCCGCGGGACGGGACTCACGTTCTTCATGGCGGCCGCCATGTCGTCGTATCGCTCGGCTTGCTCGGCCAGCCGGGCCTTCTGCACCAGCTGCTCGCGGTCCACCATCTTCGCGGGGTCCGGGAAGGGGGGAAGAAGGGGGCGAGGAGGCTGCGGGCTCCGGGAGGAGGAGGAGGAGGAGGAGGAGGAAGGGAGGAAGGAAGGAGGAGAAGGAGGAGGACAGGCGGGCAGGGCGGTCTGGGCGCTGCTGCGGCTGAAGCGGCTCCGGCGGCGGCGGCTGCGCCCGGTGCTGTGCGCGCGCCGCGGGCCACCACAACCCCCCTGCGCGCGCCCCGCCCCGCCCCGCCCCTGCCCGCCGCCCCGCCCAGCCCCCGCGCGCGCGGGGCACGGCGGGAGACGGAGTCCGCCAGGGGAGGGGGCGGCGAGCGGATCACACGGAGCGGCTCGCCCCGCCGGGACTACATCTCCCGTGGTGCCCCGCGGCAGGGCCCCGCCTCCCGAGCCCCGCCGGGCCCCGCCCGTGCTGATTCACCGGGGCCCGGCCCGGGTGGGCCGCGGAGGGCGCGGCTGGGGCCGGGGGGGGCCAGGGGGGACCCCACGGGGGCCACCAGGGGACGGGGGGTGCTGGTCGTTGTGTGGGGCGTGGGGCGCGCTCACAACCTGGTGTCAGCACAGCCCTGACCCGCTCGCAGCGTGGGCTCACAGGCTGGACCCGCTCGTAGCCCACGCACACCACACACAGCCCGTGCCTACCGTGCCCACTCATAACCTGGTCCCGTCACTGCCCTGACCCGCTCACAGGCTGGACTCACAGGCCGCACACACCACGGGCATAGCCTGTGCCCACTCATAACCCAGGGCCACTCGCAGCCTGGTCCCACTCGTGGCCAACACCTGCTCACAGCCCTGATCTGTTCACACCCTGGTCATGCTCACAGCCTGGACCCTGTCACAGCCCAAACCCCCTCACAGCCTGGTCCCACTCACAGAGGGATCCCACTCAAAACCCTGATGCACTCACAGCCCAGATCCACTCACATCCTGGTCCCACTCACATCCTGGTCTCATTCACGACCCAGATCCACCCACAGCCCAGAGTTACTCACAGCTTGGACCCACTCACGACCCACCCAGGTCCACTCACATCCCGGTCCCACTCACAACCCTCATCCAATCACAACCCAGACGCTCCCCCCATCCTGGTCCTACTCACAGCCCGGGCATGGACCATCCCCTCGTGGAGACCCTGCCCGTGGTGCTGTGCCTGGGCTCTGAGATACTGTGATGGTGCTGGGCCAGGCTCTCGTGACACATCTTGGGGCAAAACCCTGCTTTCCCCGATCCCCCTTCCCCTGCCACGGACTGGGGCCCTGACACATGGAGGAAAGCATTCCCACTGGAGAACAACGCTGGATAATTGATGGCAGCCAGCTTGGGCACGCAGTGCACTTGCTCATCAATAACCCATGGGATAAAAGCACATGTCTGCTCCAGCCATGCAGGGCTCCTGCTGCGTGAGGAGCACCATTTGGAGCCATAAGACATCCCGCTTTCCTAAAAATCCTATGGATAAAGTGATGTTGAGAGGAGGCTGCAGCACTAGGAGAAAGGAACAGGGTTTAATGGATCCTGTTTTTCTAAAAAGCTTGTGGATAAAGCAACACTGAGAGGATGCTGTAGCACTGGGAGAAAGGAAAGGGGTCTAATGTCTAATGAATGGCACTGTGCTGATCCCGATGGAAGCACTTTATCCTGCCTGGAGAGGGTCAGGCAGTGCTGGCACACGGGAAAACACCATTCTTCTTCACATGCCACGTGTCCCTGGCCCTTCCTGATGCCACTGTCCCCATGCAGATTCTCTGGGAAGGTATGAGGATGATCTCAGAGCACTCAGCCATCCCACTTGCCAATGCCCATGCCCTGAGGTTTCCTTCTGAAACCTCACAGGAACCCTTGGTGGCACCAGGACGTGCCGGTGTCCTCAGGGCAGTGCTGTGGCCACAGCCTGCTGTGGCTGTCCCAAATCTGTGGCCACAGCCTCACCCACATGGGAGGGGACAAACTGGCTTGGAAATGCTGCTGGTGGTGCTTAATGATGGCGAGCAACACCCTTTTGGGGTGAGTTCTCCATCTTTATTGCGGGTTTAGCACTGCTTTACAAAAAAGCAGAGAATTGTGTTGCCTGGATTTGTTTAACACAAAATCCTTCTTTGTTTATGGCATCAGAGGGCAGAAGAAATCCCCCCCCCCCTCTGACAAATAAAACCAGAAACACACCCGGATCCTCTGCATTTCCTCTGCAAAATCAAACACTGTCTTCCTTGCTCGCATCCCCGGCCTCACACCCCGCAGCGCACGTGGCTCTGGAGTGAGAACAGCCTTTGTGCCTGGCTTTTGTTTACTGCCCCAGCCATCCCAAGGAGAGCTCCCACGGACAAGGGCAGTTTATTCCTCTCCTCTGATAAAGGCTCATTCATTCTCCTGAGGGGGCTCGCCGTCATCTCTGGAGAGCTCCGCGGAGGGGTTGTGTTGTTTTCTCTCTGATGCCAGCTTTGGGAGAGAATTTGAGTGAAAAAGTGAGGAACACAAGAGAATATTAAAGGAGTTTGGTCCCCAAATTGTTTTTTTTTTCCTGCTATTGCTGCCATTTCTTACCAATAATCTGGAGGTACCTAGGAATTCCATGGGGAAAACCCAAGCCAAGCAGGACTATCTGCTCTGCGTACGGGTCAGAGCAGACTCCCCGCTCAATCCCCTTTGGAGTGTTGCTGCTACATTTGGGTTGGATATATGCAACCTTCTATCTTGGAAAATAAATAATATTATCCCTTAGGTACAATTCCTGGGTTCTCATGGACAATATTGGACACAAGCCTGGACCCGAAGAAATACTTGTGCACCTGGAAGATCCTCTGGTTTCTCCAAATATATCAACAGTCCTAATAAAAACTGTTGCCTTTCCATACAAACCTTATGACTCCCATCTAGTATTTTCCATAAACCCAGCAGGTTCTCAGCCAGCTCAGCTCTGCCGATTTACAGTGACCCTGTTTTTGCCCCAAAACGAGCAAATAGTGATTTATTCCTGTCAAAGCACCAGAGCCATAAATACATTTCCTAACGCAGATGATTTTCTTCCCCATCACAGGTCAGAACAGGATATTCATAATGCTGTAAATTCTTCAGAATAGCAGTATGGCTGTAATATTTATCTGCAGTGGATCCAGCCCGCTTTTGGGGCTCCCATGCATAAATCAACACCCCTCACAACTCATTCCACTGTTTTACAGCCTGGGAGGCGGACGAGGGGGGGTGGTGGTGGTGAAGGTTGGATGGTGAATGGGCTGAATAGAAGCTTCTGGTGGGCAGCTGGAGGTGTCACCTGGCTGGACATCACTAAATCCCCTTCTCCCACCTCTTTCTGGTGGCTCCAGACACCCCTTGGTGACAGCCTGGGGCGGCTGCTGGATTGGGAAATCACGACGACCCAAAGGATACGGGACTGTTCTGCAGATGTCCCAGAAAAACCTAATAACCTCGATTCTGCCTACGGGATTAAAAATACTTCGGCGCATTCAAATGTGCCACTTTGTTAATTCCTGTGGCCTGGAAGACGAGTCTTTCTCTTCGCATTTTCTTGCTTTACCCGTCGCGTCTCGTCAATGCCTTGTGACACCGCGAGGGAAGGCAGGAAATTCTCTGTGACTTGGAGGTTTGCTTGGGTTTTAGCTGCTGACTGCTCTGAAAATGGAGCCAGAAATCCTCACCCCTTGCTTGCTGTGGGAGTGTAATGGCTGTGTAATGCCCTTTCCCTCCATGTCTGCTTGCTTGGAGGGAGGGGGACGCCACGGGGGGGATGTGGGGTGCAGGTGTCCCAGCCTGTCCCCACGCCAAGGGGTGTCACCACAGGGGCACTGCCACACCTGCTTCACCTTACACCAACAGTGACCCAGTCACTGCTTGGAGTCCTGCGTGTCTTCAGCCAGTGGGTGGCAAAGCTGGGCAGAACAGAGGACACGTGGCATTCCTCTGGGCCACTGTGTGGGGCTGGGATGGGTCTCATCCCATCCCTGGGATGCTTCCCAGGCTCCTGCACAGCTCCAGGGCTCCCTGCCTGGGTGCTCACCCCAAGTTCTGCTGCCCAACTCCTGCTGCTTGAGTGACGCTTAGGAAGGTGCTGGCTGCCCAGGGAACCAGTTTTGAGACTCTTGCAGTTACACTGGTGAAAAAACAAGCTGAAGAAACCTCCATCTTCAGTGTCTCCTTCCCTGAGGTTGCAGGACAGCAGTGCCCTGATGTCCTCCCTGAATCCTTGCTGGGCCAGGCTGCCTGTCCCCAGCACCCCAGCACCCCAACACTATGGCCCCCTGGCCCCTTTTTCACCTTGTTGCCCTGAGCTTGGCTGTGTGACACAGCAAGGAGCAGGCCAAAGGTGCCCCCTCTCCCCTTCCACCCACCAGGAGCCCTCCCCAGGCTCTCAGCTCAGTCCCAGCCCTGCATCCTCCACCCTACCACACACCAGAGCAGGGGGGTCACCAACCCCAAGGAAGGACCCCGCAAGCAACACCTGGGTGAGCTCAGGGGTTCACCAGCCCTCCCCCAAACACCCCAGAGCCAGAACACTGCCTCACCTGGGGCAGGAGGCGATGGAGGGGCCTTGGCTGCTGGGGCTGATGGCACACTGAGGGTGCTTTGCAAGGAGCTCCTTCCCCCCGTCTGCGGAGCCGCCGTGCTTTGTACCCAGTCCTGGCCTTTCATCTCAGCCTTTCAAAGCACTTTCTGAGCCCAAATTAATTCTGCTGCAGCAGCTGCCCTCCCATGCTGTTTAGCATAAGCCCTGCCATGCACCGGGGCTGCCCCTTTCCCCCAGGGCTTCCAGGGATGGTTTTCCCTGGAACAACCTCAAGCCTGAGATGAGATGGGAAAGCTCCCATCCCTCCCTCCCCTTATCCCTAATACCCACTGAGAACTGCTGCAATGCCCATGCCACACCATCCTCCACTTGGAAAATCTCCCCACAGCCTTCCTCCCAGCCCCCGGGAAGATGCTCCCACACGGGATGTGTTCCCATGGGAAGCCAGGATGCCCTGGGGTGGCTGGGTTTTCACAGCTCGCCCTGGGTGCTGGGGGGGAGCTGGGGGGACCCAGGATGCAGGATCCCAGTGGGAAGGTGGGCCGGGACCAGGCAGGCATGCTGCTTCCCTGCGGGGCATTAATAATTAAGCAGGCGCGTCGGGCTCAGATGGCAGCTCTTATTTAAGGAGCCGATATAAATACCGCCCAGACGGCACTTATGGAGCACCTAAAAAAAGCCCTG